AAAAAAAAAAAAAAGATATACAGATGGTAAATAAGCATATGAAAAGATGCCCCACAACATACGTGATCAGGAAATGCAAATTAAAAGATACCACTACATACCTATTATAATGGCCAAAATCCAGAACATTGGCAACACCAAATGCTCACCAAATGGTGAGCATGTAGAGCAACCGGAACTCTCACTCATTGCTGGTGGGAATGCAAAATGGTACAGCTACTTTGGAAGACAGTTTGGAAGTTTCTTACAAAACTAAACATACTCTTACCATATGATCCAGCAATTGTGCTCCTTTGTATTTATCCAAAAGAGTTGAAAACTTATGTCCACAGAAAATCCTGCACATGGACATTTATACCAGCTTTATTCATAACTGTCAAAACTTGGAAGCAACTAAGATGTCCTTCAATAGGTAAATTGATAAATAAACTGGTAAATTCAGACAATGACATATTATTCAGCGCAAAAAAAGAAGTGAGCTATCAAGCCATGAAAAGACATGGAGGAAATGCATATTACTAAGTGAGAGAAGCCAATCTGAAAAGGCTGTATGATTCCAACTATATGTCATTCTAGAAAATGCAAAACTATGGAGACCACAAAAAGATCAGTGGTTGCTAGAGGGTGGAGGGGGGAATGAATAGGAAGAGCACAGAGGATTTTTAGTACAGTGAAAATACTTTGTATGGTACTATAATCATAGATATATGTCATTATACGTTTCTCCAAACCCATAGAATATACATTTGGAGTGAACCCTAACGTATACTGTGGCCTTTCGGTGATTATAATGGGTCAATATACTTTATCCTTGTCAAAAATGTACCACTCTGGTGAGTCATGTTGATAACAGGGAAGTTATGCATGTGTGGGGGCAGGGTAGTAGATGGGAAGTCTCTGTACCTTCAACTTAATTTTGCTGAGAACCTAAAACTGCTCTAGAAAAATAGTCTTTTTTATATAGTCAATATAGTATCTGATATTAATGGAATAAAGGATAAATACTCTCCCCAAAAGACCTAAAAACAATGACAGTAAATTATAGGTACTTCTGAAAAGTCAAGGCAAAAGCAAGTCTATTTGGAAGATTGGATTCTGGAACCAACTGCTCAAGCATTATAACATAACCTTTAAGAAATGATTTCAGAAATGAAGGGGAAAAGTTGACATTTCGCTGAACAGGGCTTTTTTTACAGCTTGTAGATAGACGATCTTAAGAAAACTTGATATATCCATTAATGTAGAAGAAAAGAGCGTTCGATTTGGAAACAGAAGATCTAAGTTTGTGGAGTAGTTCTCAGTTTGTTACATATCCTTATTGAGCATCACAATTTTCTCACCGGCAAAAAAGTGAATCATTTCACTTTTATAGGGGTCTCTTTTGATCAATACATATCACAATGCGTATGACATCTCTTAAATGGAAGTTGTTATACAAACGACATTATTATACTTAAGGGGAATTTACTAAAGAATGGAGTTCATTTTCTTAAAGCACTGTACACATTCATTACAGTTATGAAAAACTATGAAGTAAACATATAGGTGTAAAGGGTTTTTAAGCCAGGTAATGATTTTTTTTTTCTGTGCTGTTCTGTCAAGTTTAAACATTTGAAATCTTAAAATCGTTTTAAAACCCTTTACAGAATTGGAAGTAGTTTTTGAGACCGTGAAGTGAGTAACCGATCAGCTGTAAACGTCTCACACTTCAGGCTAGCTCTTTCACCCGCCGTGCGCGGGTCTTGCAGGAGCGGGACCGCCAACACTTCCGACCCCAGCTGCAGGGCACCAGGGCACTTCCGGCTCTCCACGCTCGGCCCTGAGACGTGGAAACCCGGCCGAGCGGCGGAGAACCTGTCACGCATGCGCGCCCCGGCGCAACCTCTCCGGAGCGACCGGTCTCGTTACGTCACCGCCTGCGTTGTTTGGACGGCATCGGGCGGGAGTTTTTCAAAATGGGGGCGCGGAGGCGCCGCCTAGGCCTCAGAAGGTGCCCGGGAGGCTTTTCGGTGGCTGTCCTGTCGTCGCCAGGAGCGGCGGCCTAGAGAGCCGAGCCTGATGGGCGCCAAGAACGGCTGGCTGCTTGGAGCGCTGCCTCGAAGGGGCTGCGTGAAGGGAGCTAATCCCGGGAGCCCAGGCCTGGGCCTGGCAATATGGCGACCTGCATCGGGGAGAAGATCGAGGTGAAAGACTAGGCAGTCCTCAGCCGGGCGGGTGGGAGTCGCAGTGGCGGGACTCGCGACCGCTGCGGGAAGGGGACTGGGCGAAGCTGACGGGTGCGGGGCGGGCGCCGAGCTGCTTTGGAAGGGTCTCAACCGCCGGGGGCCCGGCTGTTTGGGGGCGGAGCGGCCCGCCCCTCAAAGACGCGGGGGCGGCGGGACAGGTGAGTCGCTCGCGTCCCCGCCCTTCGGTCCCTAGACACCGCGGCTTCGTGTCAGCGATCCCGCCGGAGCTGCCGCGCTGGAGCAGGGCAAGGCTGCCTCCCCCTTCTCCAAGGGGATGGCGGTTACCTCCGGCGGGAGCTGCGGCGGGATTCCGACTAGGCCCTCGGCTCCCAGGGGTTGGCTGGCGGTGGGAGGAGGGTCCTGAGGCTGCTCTGAGGTTGAGGAAGCAGATCATTAGGGTGCTCAGTCTGGAGCCCAGCCTGGACGCTCAGGGACCCCGCAAGGCGTCAACATGCTTTCCAGCCTAGACACCTGCTGTATCGAGGTGTAATACCTGCTTGAATTTTGAATTCAAATTCCCTTCTCGATCTATTTTATCTTCTTTTTCCAGGCCCCCTCCCATCTTTCTTCCTTTCTACTTCTGTGAGTCATCACACATGTTCTTTAATTTTAACTTTTAAGGATTTTAAAGTTGGAAATCTGCTTGGTAAAGGATCATTTGCTGGTGTCTACAGAGCTGAGTCCATTCACACTGGTTTAGAAGTTGCAATCAAAATGGTAAGAATATATCAATCAGTTTCTCACCTCTACTTTGCAAGTAACTAGAGAGGTGACTTGAGATGTCAGAAACTCCTTATCTACCAGCCTTTTGTTTGATTATTGTGGTATAAAGAACTCATTTCTTAGGCAGGAGAGAGTAGTGCCAAGTCCAGCAATTGAACTTAAGGATATCTTAGGAGATCCTTGACTGTACTTAAAGAAGTGTTTTATCTTTGTTCATGTTCAGTAGACCTGGTATTTGTTCTTACTATGCATACTTGGAGTAATTGGTAGAAATCAAAGAACAAATAATTTGTTTACTGAATGTTCATTCTGCCAAGTACTCTGCTAGGTGTGTGGGAAAAATAGACAACAAAGTAAATTAATCTCATAAAGAAGTAAATAAAGGGACTTCAAAATATTTTAAAATATATATATTTTTTTCAAAGTTAACTTTTTTTTTTAATTTTATTT